GATAAGTACACCAAAATGTCAATAAAGAATGAAATTTTTATTCCTGTATTATAAAATGTTCATAACTTTTATATCCTGGTCATAATTATATTGCAAACACAGAACTGCGTGTTTTTAATGCACAGAAAATGTTATACTTTTTTCCAATGCTATCCAATGCGAGCACTCATTGATTCACTGCTTTACGACATTCACTGCAGTGCTTATCAATGATGCAGTGCTAGGAATGCATGAGTTTTCTGTGCATTAAAAACACGCAGTTCTGTCTTTGCAATATAATTATGACCAGGGTATAAAAGTTATGAACATTTTGTAATACAGGAATGAAAATTTCATTCTTTATTGACATTTTGGTGTACTTATCATTAAAATATTCTCACTATTAATACCTTAATTTTTAAAATTAAATAGTTGGTTTGTAATAAAAGGCTCCTTATAATGATAGACTGATTGACAATACCCTTGATATATGTGATGCCTTTTCTCACTGTTTTGTAAGAAAATTAAGTGACATTTCATATCCAGATTACACGACAATTAACACACAATTAGATTATCACAAAAACAGATGTTTTGCGAGAATTTCAAAGATTTGATGCAAACAAATGTAGCGTTAATTCAGACATACCCTCTCTTTGGCTTAAAAAACTTACCGAAAGTTTTGCAAATATATTATATTTATTATACAATAAAATGTTAACCAGTAAGTCTTTTCCAACTGAACTCAAAACTGTCACAGTATTACCTATTCATAAAAAAGGCAAACCTTTAGGACTCATAGACTCTTACAGACCCATCACTATAGAGAAAAATCTGTTAAAACTTTTTTGTCGATAAGTTTTCAACAATACCTCACCTTTTGTTTCAAAGAATGCAATTCTCCTTCAAAATCAATATGGATTTAGACCTGGTTTAAGCACTGGTCACCAATTAATAGACTTCTTTTATGACATTACGAATTCATTTAATGACAAACATGTGATTTGTGTCGATATTATATTTCTTGATCTCAAGAATGCTTTCGATTCCATAACTTATAAGACTATTCTTGAAAGTCTATACCAGTGTGGAATTCGTGGCGATTGTCTGCAAATAATCGAAAACTATACCATAGAAAACAGTGTGTTATGTATGAGAATAGCTATGTTAACCCTGTTGAAATTACCAGTGGGTGCCCACAAGGGGGTCTGGGCTCCAGAACTATTCTCGCTTAGTATTAAAGATTTTGCAAATTCCATAAAATACAGTAATTTATACAATTATGCAGACGATAGCTGTTTACTGAAAGAGATCTATAATGAGACTGATGTCCAAAACTTTCAGATAGATTTGAATAGTGTTTGTGATTTTTGTAAAAATAAAAACTTGGAAATTAATGCCGAAAAGTCTGTTCATCTGAGGATTGCTCTCAAAGATTGCGATTCATATGAAATAACTTTTTGTTATACAATAAATTCTGAACCAATCCCTACACTAGACAAACACAAACATTTGGGTTTCATAATAGATAATAAATTATCGCTAAAACACCAGGTTAATAAATTTTACGATAAGGCAATACAGAAATGGGCTATACTTAAAAAGCTATGTCCATATGCCAGCCCTTAAGTGCTGTTATCATTATATAAAACTTATGTATTGCCTATAATTGAATACTGTAATAGTTGTATGTATTTAATCATCACACAAAATGTCAAAATCGAGTCAATACAACACAATATCACTAAATATATTTGTAATACAATGGGTTTCTTTGACATGAGGTATGAATTGCGACTAAAAGTGTTAAACATATCTCTTGAAAGCAGAAGAAAAGTAAATATACTTAAAAATGTATTCAAATGTATATAAATATGAGAATATGCCTGTTCATTGGATTAATAAGTATGTTATAAGCAATAATCATAGAAACGACATTATATTATGTAAACCAAACACTCGTATTGAAATGTGTGACAAAAATCTATTTATGTATTCAATCAATTGGTTTAATTCGTTGCCAAAAAACATCAGATGTGAAAATAATTTTAATTGTTTTTTATCCAAATGTTATAATTTTTTTAATTAATTTTAAATGTATTCATTGACACGTTATTATGAATAAAGATTATTATTATTATTATTATTATTATTATATTAACTTAAGTTCGTCATTTTAAATAAAATAATATTCTTGAAAATTACAGTTTGAACATGAGCTCAACTTATTTCAAAATAACTTTGGATTTGACTTCCACCAAGCACATAGGATTCGCTTTTTATTGTATTTTAATTTAAATTTTTGCAAAAACTTTACTTATAATTAAATTTCTTTTACTATTTATAATTATATATACGGTATATGCCACTATTATAACATAAATGAATTGTACAGATTTTTATATTTATTTTAAAATAGATTAAATTTTAATTATGTTAGATTTAATAGGGCTTTGGTTTATTTACAATTTATTACAAGTTGTTAATATTTTGTTACATCTAGTTCTGATACTATGATTACGGATAAAACTATTTATTGTTTGTTCTTGTTGAATTAAAAATTATTTAATAAAATAATTTATACACATATAGTTTCACATTATTATAGTAATGTATTAGGCCACATGTTAATTTTCAAAGTCAATGTAAACTACAATATCTATTAATTATTATGTTTATTGTGATCTGGCTTAATGTTACACACATTGCACAGTGAAAATTTAATTTTTGATATTTATTAATTTAAAAACACATGTTAATTTTCAAAGTCAATGTAAACTACAATATCTATTAATTATTATGTTTATTGTGATCTGGCTTAATGTTACACACATTGCACAGTGAAAATTTAATTTTTGATATTTATTAATTTAAAAATCACAAAATATTTCACAATTGTAAACTACACCATAAACTAAACGAAATAATAATAAAAATACTAAAATTGATTAAAACCTTATAATTAATTGAATTTTAAAATCAGGTTTAATTTGCTTTGACTATACCGGTAGTCACATAACACATGTAAAAATAAAGTTATATAAGCAAGGTTATATCTCACTGTTAAATAATTTTAAAGCCCAAATTTTAACTTTTATTTTTAAATTAACAAGTTAAGTTAATAAGACTCAAAAATAATGAAAATTTTACTTTTAGCGTCGCTTATGGTGGTGGCTGTTCAGGTACAAATTTTAAATAACATCTTTATTTTATACTTTATATTTAGTTAATTATAAATATTTATTTATATTTAAATCTCTTAAAAATATACAAAACAATGACTTTAACTTTATATTTAACTGTAATAGTGCTAAATAGTTTGCAATCATATGAAAGCAGAGTTGATGTCATTGTTTTGTATAAACCTAAGAAATAGTTTAATAAAAAATTTACACTAACTCTCAGGGATTTAGTTTTGGTGGGTCAGGCGGTTCCCTATTCAATAGTTTTGGCGGTTTTGGAAATATGGGAAAGGGATCCCTGGATGCAGTTTTGAGACCCGTCGTAGACGCTGATAACATGGGTAAAGCAGCGATGATACGTACCTTTAACGAGGGTGCACAGGGTGTCCGTCAAAGTCTGGGTCCGATAGAGAGTCAGGTTGACCAAATGACTGGATTACCCCTCACACAAGGGGTTCATCAAGGGGTGGAGGGTGCGATATCGGTACCTGTAAACATACCATGCCCACTTCCCATTGCTGCTAATGCTGTCCAGGGTGTTGCCAACGGCACTATTGATGGTGTTACCGGCACTGAACAGGGTGAAATTGATTCTGAGTAAATTTTGTCATTGCACATAATATAATTATGTATAATTTTAACATGATAATAAAAATCATCGGAATTTATATATGTTTTGTGTTGTTTATAATATAATTAAATATTTATGAAACATGACGTTATAATAATTATAATTTTATAATTACTTATATTATATAAATTATAGGATTTTATTGTATTATTATTTTTTTAAAATTATGTTTAAAATATTTTATTTATTACAAATTATGTAAGATAACTTTAAAAATTATATAATGTTTCATACTGTATGTCATATTGATTTACTGTTACCAGGCTAATATGACGCAAATAATTTTATATTTAGCTTGCGAAATTTTAGCAACATGTTTTTGGTAATTAATTAATATTTAGTATATTCTTACTTGATTTGAAAATTAACAGAAACAATGAATCATTTGTCATTTTATAATATTTCTATAATATTTATCAAAGATGTTATTATACTAATATAATATGTGTACATTATTCTGGTGCTTATAAATATTAGTTATAATTATAACTATACAGTATTATTATATAAATTTTATTATCGTGAACATTTTACAATTAATAATCACATCATGAGACTAGACGTGGAATTTACAACAACAATAATAACATTAATCACCAAGCTTATATAATTAATTGATTTTGAAATTAGTTTTCATTTGTATTGACTGCAACGGCACTCACATAACACATGCATAAAATAAAGGTATATAAGCAAGGTTAGATCTCACTGTAGTTTTAGGCGCGACAATATTAATCCTATCTATAGTGCTAATAGCGGTGAATAAATCTTATGAGAGAAATATAATTAATTTTCAAAAATATTTGTTTTATAAATTGTTTGGACGCTGTTTAAGCAGTAATAAAAAATAAATATTTTGTATCAAAATAGCATAGAGATAATTTTAGAAATCTTATTTATAATTTAAGTTATATTTAAACAATTATTGTTAAAATTACATGTTTAATAATAATATAAATATAATTTTTTTTATGGATTATATTAATGTTAAAATTTCGAGTATACAATTTGTTTGTTATAGGTAGCAATTAAGATGAGTTAAACTGTATATTTAAAAATAATAATAAAAAACATTGACATTTTTAAAAATGTTTTTCACTTTTTAACTCACATTTAACTCTCCCATAGGGTTGTGCATGAAACATATATCACAATCTAATAGTGAATTATAAACACACATGTTGAAGGCTATTTAATATAAGTTAAAATTATTATTTTAAGCCTAGCTAATATATTTGGCGTATTGTGTAAAGTACATACAGATAATCTTTTTGAAATTTAATAAGATTTTTATTCACAGTAATTAATTAATAAATGATAATTTATTTGCTCACAACTGCACATGTTCATTTCAAATTGATTCAATTCAATGCGATGCAATACAGTTATGTTTAGTTAGCAATATATTAGTCAACAAGTATAATACAATAAAAATTAAATGTACTGTATAATTTTACATGATGTCTGAAGTAAATGTGATCATTACATTATGATTTTGTAAAAAATATATTTATTTCTAATACATATCGACAAATATATTCTACATGTATACGCCAGACAGGTATGATTTACATTATATATTAATAAATAATTAATTTAAATTACTTAAATATAGTTTGGAAACAACTAATATATTAGTTACTGAGAGTCAGCCAGCTGAAAATGCTAAAATACATAATTGTCAAAAAGGCCAAGGGTGGCTGGAAAAATTGGCATTGTTAATTCCAGCTTTTGGGATATTATGTGAAATTCTAGGTTAGTCAAATTTAATTGTTTCAGCAATTGCTTAATATTATTACTACCATATTAAATTACAAAATTATTTACAAATGATTTGTATCAGGGGTCGTATTATATTCCACCTTGCCAGTCGTAGCAAAATGGATGGTGGACATGCCGGTTATTCAAGTATTATTATATAGGTACTTTCTATCAAGTATATTGTAAAGAGTATTTTATTAGAAACCAAGGATTTCATTTTAATAATTAAGGTATTAATAATGAGAATATTTTGGTGATCAATACACCAAAATGTCAATAAAGAATGAAATTTTTATTCCTGTATTAGAAAATGTTCATAACATTTATACCCTGGTCATAATTATATTGCAAAGACAGAACTTCGCGTTTTTAATGCATCATTGATAAACACTGCAGTGAATGTCGTAAAGCATTGAATCTATGAGTGCTTACATTGGATAGCATTGGAAAAAGTATAACATTTTCTGTGCATTAAAAACGCGCAGTTCTGTCTTTGCAATATAATTATGACCAGGGTATAAAAGTTATGAACATTTTGTAATACAGGAATAAAAATTTCATTCTTTATTGACATTTTAGTGTACTTATCACCAAAATATTCTCACTATTAATACCTTAATTTTTAAGATTAAATCGTTGGTTTGTAATAAAAGGCTCCTTATTTATAGATAACTGTGTTTTCATTAATGTTATTGTGTTTTATATATCGATATAACTCTTTATAATTGCGTGACTTATCTATCAATGCATTCAATTTGTTTGAATGATATTCTTCTAAAAGTCGATTAATTTTTTCAAACAAATAATTAACGCAAAAATAATAATAAAAATCTCCAGAATTTAAAAATTTTAAAAATTCTTATAAAATTTTATGTCGCAATTGTTACAAATAATTATTATTTGTGACCATTAATAGTTAATATGTTTACCATCATAGATATTTACAATACCAGTATCACATAAAACTTTGATATTACGTAAACTAAATAATTTGTTATTTATTTTTAAATATTAATATAGTTATTATTATTTATAAATAGCTACAATTCATATATTAAAAACATATTAATGATTATTGTATCACCCAGTTCCAAATAATTGTGTCATAATAGAAATAATAATAATAATGATATTTAATGAAAACATAATTTGAATCACATAGAAAGTTACATTACATGGTTTATTGCCGATAAATTAATATTTAAATAATATATGATTCCAGTATCACACTAACCTAGATACTATAAACTAATAAAACATATTATTGTAAAAACTTTATTATTTATTAGTTTGAAAAATATTTATTTTGTTTGTGTCATATAAATCGCTACGATATATTGAATCTAATTTAATATTTATAAATAATATATAATTTAACATGTAACTTAATTGACATACATAAAGTAATTAGTTTCCCATAAATGAAATAATACAGAAACATATATTTATGAAATGTACAAAAACAAGAATATTGTGACATATATTTCATAAAACTTTCAAATACTTTATGAATCAGTAATAAAAGTTTGCTTAAGTTTTACAAAAATGGATTCAATTTTAGAATATTTATTATTATTTTATTTTTTATTAAAATCTATAAATTTTAAAATCATACTACTTGTGAAATTAATGTATAATTATAAAATTATTAATATTAAGGCATTCAT